GCTGCGCATGCGCATGAGCAGAGATGAGCCTGGCAGTCACAATGATCACTCAACAACCCGGTTATTCACCTGGCAGCAACGGCATTCACCTGACGATCAGGTTATTTACCTGACTTCAATGGTATTCACCTGACAACCAAGTTTTCACCAACAACCTGGTTATCCACCTGACAACCTGGCTTGTTATTCACCTCACAACCAGGGTATTCACCCGAGTAACATGGAATTCACCTGACAATCAGGGTATTCACCTGATAACCAGCGTATTCACCTGGCAATCAGGGTATTCACCTGCAAATCAGGGTATTTACCTGATAACAAACGTATTTACCTGACACCCAAGTGATTCACCTGACAACCAGGGTATTCACATGGCATCCTTGTTATTCACCTGCCAATCAGGTTATTCACCTGGCAGCAACAGTGAAGATGTATGGAGACACGTTAGCAAGTGTACGCTGCTGCTTTGCCCCCGGTGCCATGCCTTCGTTCCCCGCTGCTGCCACCACAAACACGCCCGCCTGGCGTTGAGATGGGAGGGAGGGAACAAAGCAAGGGAGTGAAAACAGGGGGGACGGGGAGTGTGAGGTGGTGATGGTGTGGTGTGGAGGGGTAGAGGGGCGGGTGCTGCTTTGCCCCCGGTGCCAGCCATGCCTTGGCTCCCCGCTGCTGCCACCACAAATACGCCCGCCTGGCGATGGGAGGGGAATAAAAGGGAGACAGGGCAGGACGGGGGGAGGCAGTAAAGGTGGTGACGGTGGGTGGGGGAGGAACGGAAAGGGGGTGTGGGTGAGAAGGGGGTGAGGGAGGGGGAAGGAAAGAGGGGTTAAGGGAGGGAAAGGTGGGGGAGAGAGGAGAGAGGGAAGGGGGGGGGGGGGGAGTGTCAAAGAGCCAAACCTAAACAGTCGTCATCTGTGCTCCCCAGAGGAGCCAAGCTCTAAGGAGGAACGCGGAGTTGAAATTATCATCATCGGTGCTCCCGATAGGTAACAGCAGAACGTCACTTTGGGCCCGTGGGGACGGAGGGAGGCGTGGGGGTTGGGGGAAGGGCGGAAGGGGGAGGAAGAGGCCCCTTACCTGAACAGCCCTGAGCAAGAAAGCGGAGTTGAAATAGTCATCGTCTGTGCTCCCGATGGGCAACAATAGCACGTCGACGCCATCCCGCACAGCCTGCTCCACAGCAGCCATCACATCCCCCACGCTGCTCTCCCCGCCCCACACCGCCTTGTACACCGCTATTCTCGCCCGCGGCGCCATGCCGCTCATCCGACCAATCACGCGGCTCCGCGGGCTCATGCTGACCGGTATATTGCTGTTGCCGGCCGCAGCGCCGGCACACCAAGTGCCGTGCCCGGTGCTGTCTCTAGGGGAGGCGTATTCCCCCTTTGGATACCCTTTGTTTGCCTTGAGGTAAGCAGCCGAGAAGAATTGTGCGGCGATAATTTTGTTATTGCAGGAAGTGGCTTTAAAGTCTTTGGTTGCCGCGCATTTGCCCCGCCAGGTCCTTTTCGGGCGGAGATACCCCCGCCCGGAAAAAGCGGGGTGCTCCGGCCAAATACCCGAGTCCACCACGCCTATAATCACGTTTTCCCCCGCGCGGTTCGCCCCGCCAAGACCTTTCCAGACAATAGAGGAGAGGTTGAGAAAGGCGGGTGTGATTGTAGTGAGGGGAGCGAGCGATCTCGACGGCTCGATTCGATCGACGGCTGGATGGCGTTTGAGCCGATGCAGCTGGGAGGGGGTGAGTGAGACGCAAAACGCGTTACTTAGGTAAGTGTAGGAGTAAAGAAGATCGGAAGGGGAGAGACCAATGCTGGCGACGGTGTGGGAATGGAGGGAGGCGAGTTGCTGCGTGTATGCTAGCACGTGGGAGGCTTTAGGATCGGGCCTGGGGGGAATTGGTGTGGGATTTTGTTCTGTGGTCCCAAATGCTGCCACGTCAGCATCAGCAGCGGCAGTGGCAGTGGCTTCAAAGCCGGGAACGCCGCCGGTGTAACTGACAACGGGTGGCAACCCTCTCATGTATACAGTGTACACTTGGTTACTGTAGCTCCTCCTGCCGTCACTGCCACTACTGCTGCTGCTGCTCCCACTGTCTCCTCTGCTTTCACTGCCCCCACTCCCCCCACTGCTCCCACTCCTCTCACTGCTCCCACCAGTCATTATTCGAAAATCCTCTTGCTGTTGCTTCAGTCGCAAGGCAGCATCTGACGAAGCTTCCTCTGGAGCAACGGAAGCTGCCGTGACGAGGTGGGACGAGTAGGACGCTGACGTGGCAGAGGAGTCCGAGAAGGGATCCGATGCTGACGTGGCGAGGGGGATGTCCAGCTGTTCATGGAATCTCGCGTGGTGCAGCCAAAGGGGGAGCGGGTCGGCGCCGCTCATATCGCTGGCGGCGTGCACACGAGGCGCGTGGGCTGACGCAAAAGCGGAGGGGGCGGGGCGGACGGGTTTGGGTGGTGGGGGTAAAGGGGCGGAGGCGGAATGGTGGGGGAAAGGGGGGGGGAGGAGGGGAGGGGGGGGGGGGAGAGGGGGAGGGAACGGGAGAAGAGGATATAGGAAGAAAAAGGGAGACGGAATCAGTCAGAGAGCGGTGGTTGACTTATCGCTGTGCAACTCATGGCTGAGTGAGGTGGAAGGAGGTGAAGGGAGGTGAAAGGGGGTGGAGAGAGGTGGAGGGAGTGGGGGGAAGGGGGAGCGGGTGACATGCAGCATGAAGGCGAGCGGGCGGAGGAGGATGGGTGCAGCCGAGGAGGCTATTGAGGCGCCTCAAAAGGAGGCGAGCTCAAGTACGATCGGGCGCAAGGGAAATCGGGAACACGAAATGCACGCACACGCACGCACACACACAGAAGGTTACGGGGTGTCATGATTTGTCGCTTGTAGCGAGGATACGAAGTGGCATCGCGCGACTCACTGGAAGCGACGAGAAGGGCGACGAGCGACAGAAGCAGGCGAGCTGTGCGATCCATGTCGTGCGACCAGTTCGCGAAACCTGAGTTTCGCTCACTAAGCGACGGCGTTCTGATCTCAGCGATGGTCCCTGTGACTAGATTCCCCAGTGTCCCTTTAAGACGTGGAACAAGAAATTAGTTGCGGTACGCTCCCGGTCCGCCCGAGGAAACTCCGGTACAGTGCGGTTATTGCGGCGCGGCAAGTTGCACAAAGGCGTTCTGGCGAGTGATTGCTCTAACCTTTCGCGCTCGATTTATGAGTCGACTCAAAAAAATGTTTGCGATGAGGAAAGCCGTTGGACAGCTGGCTGCTCTAATCTACCGCGCACGCACTAAAGACGATGTGACACGCTTCCACGTCGCTTTTCTTGCCGGTTACCATGAGCGGAACCATCCATGTCTCCCATGCTTCCTAGGCCGGTTCGAAAAAAGCACAAAAAATATGCGGAAAAAAAGGGTATTGTGTAAAAGGTCTTGTAAGGCTACGGCTGCAGCTGTGTCTAATAACCAGTCACGAGTACCGCTCGCATGCGCTATGCGCGATGGAGCTCAGATGGCGTCTGGTGAAATTAGGAAGAGCAATGTGCCGATTAACTCAGTCGTCAACGACAAACGCGACGGAAGAAAGGGCTGTTACGAGTACGAGCTAAGGGTGACTAAAAAGGGCGAATGGATTGTGTCGAGACACGCGGTGGAATGAATAAAACCCTAAAAACGTTGTCAGATGGAAGAAATTATAAGTGAGCATGATATCAAAATCACCACGTAGCTTGCATAAGCTAAGGGCTCGTCAACCGTGACATGATTGTGTGTGTGTGCGTGTGTCTGCTCTGCTGCCTCGCTCAAACCACAGATTACACCAGTGAAGTCAGGTCGTTTTCTCACGGTTGAAGACGTTTCCATACGGCGAAGAGCGATTTTGAGATTATACCGTTTTGCACCGTGACGAAACGATTCTGACCGTAGGGAAGTACGAAAAGAGTGAGCGGGCTGGTTGGGCAGGTAGGCGACGAGAGAGTCCCTTCTGCATTTCACCAGCCATGGCTGAAAAGAAACTGGTTGGAGAGGTGCGATGCTAAGCTTTCCAGGTCCTAACTAGTATGTACGTGTCATTACGGTAGAAGTGAGATGTTCAGCGAAACGTCACACTCATGTGTCAATCACCAACATCATGTGGACAATAGATCTGACACTCGCGGGAAGAGATCGGGCTCTGAGGTTCGTTGTGAAGGGAAATCACTTCTTGAAAACACGCAAAGAGTAGCCTTGATACGCTGTGGCAAGCTTTGGCGAACAAAAACGCCGAATTTCGCTTCCAGCGCTGCCCGCGTCTCGTAATTGTGCCCAAAACACAAGCAGGACCAGCCCCCCAACCCGGGCAGCAAAATGGCAGCCCTTGGTGGCTCGCCGCCGCCAGCAGCCGTATAGGCAAACGGCAAACCGCGACAACAATGACCAATGTCGTCGATTCTTTACAGCAGTTGCACGACATTCGCAACCTGATGTGCTTGTAGCGAGCTTACCAATCAGCTTGGTTGGTGAGAGTTCATCTGGAACTCCCTCCCAGGTGTGAGGTTTGGCAGTTTCTCGAATGTCCAACACGTTGTGGTCGCATAGCCCAGGGCGAGGCGCAGAGGTTGTGAAAGCCCTGACGAAACAGCCGGCTTTCGACTGAAAGGTAACTGTCGCCGAGCCACATAGGGCTCCGCTGCCTCGGTCGACGTACCTCTTATAGGGATTCTCAATTTCATGCAAAGTTCGTGAACATTTTGATAGTCACGATATGCAGTGAAGTTCTGATAGAATCCATTACCTGCTTGAGAAATGTGGAAGGAAGGACGCGTTGTACGAACATAAGTCCCGCCTCACGTGGTCAAGTGCCATTGACAGTGAGGTAAGGCAGTCTGAAACCCATTTGATGGAAATAAGAGCCCACTGGTACTAGAACTAGAATACATATCAGACAGCTAGCAGTCCTGCTGACGTGGCAGTGTACAATACATGAATTCCTAACACATAACATCTTATTCGCCTTCTCGCACGGCTTTAAGCCACGGCGGGAAGCTCTCCAGTGTTGAAAGCAGAGAACCGGCAGTCAGTCGCCGTGACGGAAGACGTCTCGTAGTCAGAAACCTTTCCGTCAAGGAAGCCCTTGCCCTCCGCTCCGTCAGCGGAAACGGGGTGGTGGAGAACGGCAGCCAGACGGGAGAAGTCGGTCGTACGCTTCTCCCTGCCCGTACGGTACGTCTGGCCCATGACACCGTGCACGTCAGCAGTGGGTGCCACGTCAGTGAACATCACGTTGATGTGCGTCTCGGCGTCGTCAGGAGTCTGGAGGAGCGGGTGAGCGACGCGGAGCCTCAGATCCAGCTCCATCTGATCGCGGATCTTGACCGTGTAAGCGTCCACATCGTACGGTCCAACCTTCTCGATCTTGTTGAAGGTGAGGGTCAGGTCTGCGATCTTCTTGCTCTCGCCGACCTTCATTCTCGGCAGAGCCTTATCGTCTGCGACGATAGACTTCACGAAACCGTCGCCACGGGCCTGCTCCTTGCCGTCGCGAGCGGTCATGACGAAGCTGTGCGACGATCCGTCGCGCGACCTCCACATGATGGCGAGCTGGCGAATCCACGTGCGAACCGCCTTGCCGTTCACGATCAGCGCGGCGCTCTCGGTGCGGTCATCGTAATACCCGCGCATGGCCATGTTGATGTGCATCTGACGGTCCGTGTACAGGCAGAAAGATTTCTCGGGCAGCCCGTTGAACTCGAAGCGCGTTCCGTGCGCGCCGAGGAAATGCGGGTCATCCTTGGTGGTCGGGCAGGCCTTGCCGATGCGGATTTTCTTTCCGCCGCCCTTCACGGGCTCGATGCCGTCGATTGCGGGGAGCAGGATGCACTTGCCGCACGGCTTTCCGGAGCACGTGTCCGAGCTTCCGCCGGAGGATCTGGAATCGCAACGCAGCGGAGAGAGGAAAAAGCAGGAGCAGGAAAACGCATTAGGGAAGGAAACGAGAGAGAAGAGTGTTCGAGAAGCGAAGGGACAGTCGGGGCCGGTAAGGGGAAGGGAGATGGGAGCGGGAAGTAGGAAGGGTTGGGAGGGAGGGAATGGAAAGGAGGAGAGGGAGGGGAGGGAGGGGAACGGGAGAGTGGCTCGAGGTGAAGCTAGCGTCGAGAAAAGGATAGCGGAAGGGACGTACGGAATGTGGACCCAGTAGCGGCAGTTGAAGGAGGTGGTGCCGGTGGTGTTGCTGCACTTGTTGCAGCACGCCTTGGCGTGGATGCTGCCCGCCGCGCAGTACGGCTTCGACGACGACGGCGGGGAGTTCACGCACGCGCCGTACTCGGGGATCTGCGCAAGGGAAGGCGGGATAATCCAGAAGAAGGCGGAAGAAAATGAGCGCGGGACATGAGCGAGAGGAAGTCGGGTCCAGAGAGAGAAGTGGCGAACTGCCTCGAGGGACGAGATTAGCGGCGAGGCGATCCTGCCGAGAGGCGCACGGGATTGAGAGCCGACTGGTTGGGGAAATGGTGCTAACCGTCCAGTAGTCGAACGAGCCGGAGGTGTAGTCGCAGCCGCCCTTGGTGCATAGGCCCTTGAGGTCTTGCGGGTAGGGCTTGTCAGCTGGCTTTGCGGCGTGCGCGGCGGCCGCCATTGCCAGAACGGCGACAAGAATCACGAGCCGGGATGCCATGGCGACGCTGCTTCTGTGAGACCTGGACTGACTGAAGTCTATTACTGGTACTGTACAACAAGCTGTTGGCGAAACTCTATGAAACTAAGAGGAACTGGAGATTAGTGACTGTTTCAACACTCCGAACCCTTTTGATGTGGTGAGAGGAGCAAGGGCAAGGAGCACACACCGCAGGTTGAAGTCTGCTCCTGAGTATTCCCATGCGACGACAAAGCGATGGGACCACGGACAACTCAAGGACAGAAACAACACTTCTCGGGCACCGCGTAACGAAAATTAGGGTGCTTTCCGGATTTAGGCGGAGTCCCCTGGGAGACGCTCAGTTTAGTGAAAAAGAGGCATCGTTCTGCGCTGAAACGGAGAAGGAGTGCAAGGACGGTGACTGTAAATATTAACGAATCTGACCGCATTCTGAGAAGATTTTTTGTGCCGCTACAAAACAGCAATCACCCTGGCTCCAGCACTTTCCATGTGTGGTGAAGGTCTCCTCCTGAACACTGTCCTGGCTGGCGGAATCGAACGGCTATGGCAAGCTAGCTACACCACACGAAGCGCTAACAGAAGTGATACACCTGAATGGTCATCTGCGCCTTGTCAGGAACAGAGCTCGATAGCTTCTCGGAGCAGGTGAGAAGCTGTAAAAACACCTGACAGTGCACAAGCGACAACCACTTGCGTGTCGTCAGTAACACTGACTTCGCTACCGAAATCGGGTGTCGTTGGAACTGAATATTCCTGAACTGTTCTCCTATAAAAAGTTTTTTCTGCTTTGTCTGCTTCAATTCTAAAGGTCTCATCGGATCGTGAGGGCTGAAGGAATATTTGAAGAATGATCTGGATTCAACATCTTCGTGTTGTAGCACAAATAAAATCCTAAATAAAGAACCCACTATAACTCCCCCCCCCCCCCCCCCCCCCCCCCCCCCCTTCACTATATTCCCTAATCCCATAAAAGCACGCATGACAAGAAAGCTGAAGCCGACACGAGAGGAGAGGTCTACTCCAAACAGCAGTCCACCCTAAGCTCGGGGCAGCGGCAGTCTATTCCATGCTTGGGTAGCAGCAGTCTATCCCATGCCGAATTCCCCCGGAACCGAAGTCAGGAAAAGCCTGCAGCAGCAGCCAGCAGCAGTGGTGGTGGTACGGGCGGCCTCGGGGGGGAAAGGACTCAGAGATCAGTCATGAATCGGCTCGTCAAGCATTGTACCAGCAGCATGTGCGAGGCTCGGTGCAATGCCAAGCGCAGCAGCAGTAGTAGTAGCAGCAGCAGCAGCAGCAGCAGCAGCACATTTGCAACAAATGGACAAAGGCAGAACCGCTTTCCACCAACCCTTCCTGATCCCACTCCCCCCCACTTCTAGCCCCCTCTCTCCCCCTCAACCCCTATCATTTCCCTCATGTAACTTCCATCGCTTCTTCCCATCGCTGCATCTCTATCTCGGGGGAAATAATCCAGCCACTGAAACCCTCAACCCTGGGGTCCAGACAACGCACCCAAACGTCTAACCAACCCAGCAATATGGACTCCTCTCCAGCACCTGCACTCTGAGTTGCCTGAAGAAGGGTCTTCGCACCACCATTACACAGCAACACTTGAGAGCCTTCCCCATTCTACCCGCTCCCATTACTCTTGTAATAATTACCAAACTGATGGGTACACTGTCTTTTCCCACCACCCATCCATGCATCTACTGCAACTCACCAATGTAACAGCTGCCACCCACACATGAAGCAGCTGCCATTCACACATGTTAAAGCTGCTTCACATCACACAGAGTAGCTAGCCCTGCCTTTCGCCTTCCCCCCACCCAGCACCTTCAACTTGCCCCTCCACAACCCCTCCCCATCATCCTCCCCCCCTTGGGACCCACTCCCACCTGCCTTCTCCCTTCCTCCATCGTTCCTCTCTTCTTTCCTCTCAGCTGCGCTCCCGTCCATCCTCCCCCCTGAACTCGTAATCTGCCAAGCCTCTCCCTCGGCCCCACGCTCGTTGCCCCCAGCACCTTCGCTCCCCCCATCTCCCTTCCCGCCCCATGGGTTCGATCCAGCGGTTGCGCTCGCCCGAAGCCCCACTTTCTCCAGCCGGGTAGATAGAGAATTTCTTCGTAACCTGCCCCGAATCTGCCCAGCCGTTTCATCCCCTCTCCCTGCTCCGGCTTCGCTCCTAGACCCTTGAAGTGACAACCTCCTTCCTCTCCTCCCCGCCCCTTCCTCCTCCTCCTCCATCTCCTCGCTCCCCCCTCCCTGTCCACCCCCTTTGCTCCAACCTTTCCCAAACAGCTTAAGCCACATCTTTCCGAGTGAACCTTCCCCTCCCTTCTGATTGCTGCCACTACTACTGCTACTCATCAAACCACCAGAGCCAGCGGCAACAGGAGTGGAACTACCAGCAGCACCAGAAGCCTCGGCAGCAGCAGCAACAGCAGCAGCAGCAGCAGCAGTGGGCGCAGCAGCAGAGAACCCGCTAGCAGTGCTACTGGCAGGGCTGGCGTCTCCACCCCCCCAACCGCTCTGCACCGGCCAGAACCCTCCGGATTTCACCGTGTTCAGCGGGCTTTTAGGCCCAAACGCTTTAAACACCTTGGAAGTACGTCTAGGTTTAGAGGAGGGAGGCACGGGCGGGGCTTGGGAGCGTGAGGGGGAAGTGGTGGAAATGGGGGAAGCGGAGGGAGAGCTCTGGTAGTCGGGGAAAGCAGGGCGGCTGGTACGGTCAGGAGCAGGCGAGGAGGGGGCGAAAGCAGTAGCAGGAGAGTCAGTCTGTCCTGCTGCTGCTCTTGCAGGTGATACTCCTCCTGTTGCTCCTCCCTTTGCTCCCACTCCTGCTGCTCCTGCTCGTCCATACTGTGGGGATCGCAGCATTACCTCGGAACGACCATCTATACTGGATGCGCAGGAGCGAGCAGGCGAGGCCAGGTGCATCGAACCACCAGGCGAGGCCAGATATGTTGAATCTGCCACACCAGAACCAGCCGCACCACCAGCTGCTGCTACTTCCGCACCTCCCCCCAAACCTCCTGCCGCAGCATGCCGGTCGCAGTCCGTGTAGGTTCGGCGGAGGACAGGAACAGCGACAGAACTCGCAGGAGACCGAGGCGACGCAGACGGCTCGGACACAATACTCGTAGATGCACCGAACCGGTCGGTTACGTGGTAACCATCGCTCCCAGCCATTGGAACACCACTGTCGCTCCCAGGCCCGGGTTTCCATTCTGAGCTAGAGCTCGGCGGTGAAGTCCATTTCTGAGACGCACCAAAAACTGCGATGTCCCCACCAGTGGCCACACCAGTGGCAACACCAGTGGCTATGTCCCCGCCGCTCCCCGCACCAAGGGACCTGCGGCTGCTGCTGGCACTGCCGCTTCTGCCACTGTCACCGCGCGGGTAACCAGGAGAGTAACCACCAGCACTAGGGTTACCACCAGCGGTCCTGCCAGTAGGACCGAAAGCAGTACTGCTCCTGTTGACATTGTGCTCTGCACCTGCGCCTGTTCCCTCAAGCTCCTCTATCTCTTGCGCTAGGCTGCTTCTTCTGTTACCCGCAGGTGCCAAATCCGGAAAAGCAACTCTGCCTGGAGAAGATGAGCTTATAACGGGGACAGACTGTACTGATCCGGCTTCCTTCTCCAAATCCGCGAGCTCTCGAGCCAGGGGGCTCGACCGAGGGGGGAGGTTCGAGTCCCGCAGAGGGCTGCTCCTGTGTGGCCCTTCCACTGGGGTGTGACTATAAGAGTTGCTTCTTGAAGCGTGACTATACGAGCCCTCCATGTCCGGAAAGGCATGCGAGGAGACCGCAGCAGTGGCAGCGGAAGGAGAAGCAGAGGAGCCCAGTCTGGACAGCCGTGACGGTGTGATGGAACCCGAAGGCGACATGCCAGGAGACACACCTGAAACCGCACCCTTCCTCCCTTGACTGCTCATTGTCCTTCTTCCTTGCACCGCTTCCCACCCCTCTCCACCCCTTCCGCCCTCTCCCCGCTCGCCCTCCTCCCCCTCGTCCAGGCCACTCGATCGTACGTTCCAGCTGTGGCTGTGCACAAACGCGCGGTCCCCTCTCTGCGCCGCGGCCACCGCTGCCGATACACTCCGCCGCTCAAACCCCACCCCAGGACCCCCTCCCTCCTCCCCACCCCCATTCCCATCTCCTTCCCCCCCATGCCCTTCCCGCAACGCCCCCTTCCCCCCGTCCTCGTCGTCCCCTTCCTGCATGGCGGCTGCGAGCTGGGCGAGGGCCTGCGGTGGTAACGTTACGCTCATGTTCCACCCACTGCCGCTGCTGCCCGCAATGCCAGGTGTCGGCCTCTCATTGATCGAGAGACGTTTTCCCGAGCCTGAGCCGCGAAGGGCCGCAGGGGAGCCGAAGGAGGGCGCGATGGGGGGGGTGGAGGAGCCTCGGGGGGGGTATCCCGGAGAGGGGCGGGCAGGTGCAACTGGGGACGGTTCGACTGCGGTAGGCCGAGATTGCAGCTCTTCTCCTCCTCCTTCTCCTTCACTGCCGTCCCTGCTGCTATCAACGGCATTTGCCTTGGCCGACCGGCTGCTTCTATCTGCTGGTCTCACGGGTTGACCCAGGTCAAGGGACGGGCCTACCAGCCGGATGGGTTGACCGAGGTCAAAGCAGGGGTCAACGGCGCACCCTGACACATCCGCCCCCACTCCCACCAGCACCTCCCCCACCTCCTGCAGGAGCCTCTGTCTCGGCGTGAGACGACTGCCCGCACTCCCCCTCCCCCCGCTCCCCTCGCCACTGTTCCGCCCGGTACCTCCCCCTTTCCGCCTGCCTCTTCCCCGCCCGATTCCCGGATCCGACGCGGGGAGGCGCTGCCACGTGGCACCCTTCAGCGCTTGCCCCGTCACCAGGGTGGCACCATCAATCCACCCTGAGTCATCATCATCATTATCCCTGCCGTCCCTGCTGTTCCTACCCCCAGCATCGCTCCCCCCAGCTGCTTGCTGCTGCTCTCTCGTCTGTTGATCCTGACCGTTCGATCTGCTTCTTGACCCTGTACCTGTTCCTGTACCGGCCGCTGGCATCCCTTCCGCTTCCCCGTTTGCGGAACTCCGCCTATTGTCACAGTTCTCAGGATCGCCCGCTTCATCCTCCCCCCTAAGCTCTGCCCTGTCCTCCCCACCACCACCACCACCATCACCTTCCCTATAATCACCATCATCCTCGTAGTCATCCCACCCCCCTTCCTCACCCTCCTCGCTCTCCTCCCCATCCTGACTCTCACCTGCGGGAAACGAATCCTCCGACTTGGTCCGATACGCGAACGGCGCGTCGTGGTAGATCGTCAGCGGCGGCGGCTGCGCGCCTTCCTCGATCTTTCCTCTGTGCGAGCGGAAGGTCGACGCGAACGACTTGCGGATGTTGTCGCGCGTCGCGTCGGGGAGCGGCGCGCCCGAGTGCAGGTCGCACTTGCGCGCGGAGTAGAGGAATGCCGTGCGCACGCGCCCCAGCAGCCCGCGCGCCTGATCCTTGGTGAGCGGGTCGTAGCCCAAACAGAAGAAGACGATCCCGTCCTTTGCCATCAGAAACAGCACGAACAGCCGCCCGTGGCCCTGGGAACGGGGGGTGGGGACGGGGGAAGCGGGGGAGGCAGAGGGGGGGGAGCGACGGAGGGGAGGGTTGGGGGTAGACGGAAAAAGGGGGCCTTTCAATCTTATCTCTTGGTAAGGTTTGTGCGGAGTGCGGAACGACGCGCCCCAGCAGCCCGCGCGCCTGATCCTTGGTGAGCGGGTCGTAGCCCAGACAGAAGAACACGATTCCGTCCTTCGCCATCAGAAACAGCACGAACAGCCGCCGGTGGCCCTGGGAACGGGGGGTGGGGAGGGGCCGGGATGAGGAGGGCGGGAGGGGGGGACGGAGGAGATAGGGTGGAGGGTGGGAGGGAAGAGGGAAGGAAGAGGAAAAGAGCGGAGGATTTGGTAGAGAAGTTGGAGAAGGTTATCATTGTCCGTTACTCGCTCGAGGTGCTTGCAACGGTTGCGTTTGAGATTCCTGCTAACGGTGATAGAATTTCAAGACGACTTCTGAGGCGCCTAAAAAAAAAAATCATTGTCCGTGATTCGTTTGAGATCATGGCAATCGCTGCATTTGAGGATCCAGCTGACACATACAGAATTGACTTTTGAGTCGACTCAAAAGTCACCTCAGCTGACAGTTACAATGTTTTGAACCGCCTGAAAAAGCAATCGATGCGGTCGATGTTCCTTCTTACGGACACTACATGATTCTGTGACATTGGAAGTCTGGGACACTATTCGTGCAATGAAACGCTGACATCTCTTGGCGATCAGAATGCAGCTATATAGGAAGATTGTGATGTTTCAGGTTAATCAAGTGTCAGGAGAGCAGGAAAAACAAAAAAAACAGAGAGACGGCCATGAGACCACATGACGGCGGAAACATTGTTCGAACCATATTGTAGCGTTGCTACATTCGAGCAATAGGTAAAAATTTAGGACAGTTGGAGAAAATATCGGTTACAAATTATGCTTAAGAAAATAACAAATGCTCTTTCTGCTGAAGACCCTTCGTGTCGCAACATTCGACCTTACCATTGAGATTTGCGATGCATGTTCCGGGAGAGCGGGTAATGCGGCAGAGATCGCCTCTCGGTACGCGTCCCTGTCTCGGCCGTAATCCGCGAGAATATTACCCTTGCTCGTCGCAATCCCCGCATACGCCACCAACTCTACTTCCTCCATCCTTCGCGAACAGTCTTAACCTTAGATAGTACCCGTATATTATACACTTGGATTGGAGCCTCTGCGATCGTGCAACGAGAGTTGCAGTGATCGAAGCTAGGAAGCAATGTGAGAGCAGTCAATCCAGAAATGTAAGCGACACTGCAATGGTGGCCATAAATGCGATCACAAAGCCCGCAAGGTCGTCCGCTTAACTAAATAAGAGGCAACGTTACGCCGATCTTCACGCGATGACTGCTGACTGGGAACCGCTGCCACTAAGATACGATCCTATTGCGAAAATCACGGAATAAAGATGTCGTGCTAAGTGTGCTTTGGGGGATATCAGGCAGGTGGTACAATACAGTACGTATTGACATCCGTGTTCTGTCGTTACCTACGGTATAGTACGTTTCTATACGGTGCATCGGTTTCAGGAGCCTTGTAGAGTGAGAATGCTCGAGGTGTGTTTCTGTCCAGGCTGAGAGAACAAGCGAGGTCGGCGGAAGTAGGTGGGGGTTGCGCCAGGGTTGCTTTGGCCTGCGCGGGGGGGTCTGCTAGGCGGAAAACTATCTAGCCCGAGGGGGTGAATGGAAGCTCGGCGCGCAAATGTGCACAGCCAGATTCTTGTAGGCTTTCGGCGCATTCAAGCCAATCCACATTCCGATGTGATGCGCGGGCGGAGGCCTGTTGGATGTTGGAACGTGACCCAGGGGAAAACGGTCAAGGTGCCCTGTTTCTGTATCTTGAGATATGTACATGGAATTCGTGTAGCAAACACTAACGGTGCATTCCGCTCTGGACATGTATCCTTAGAGAGTGTCCGAATCTATTGTGACGCGTACTTACAGCATATGCTGCCATGTGTCGGAATTCCAGACCGCGCATCAAAGTCGTGTCAGATTACAATTGTATCTCTAGGCTACAGTACGGTCACTCCTTAGTGAGTACAACACTTTAGGGTTAGGTTTCCCCTACTTGTACTCACCTCTTGCATAGTTCAATCATTCATTCCTAGTTCTATTCTTGACAAGTCGCACAACGTTTTTTCGATTGGCTGGCATGAACCACGGAACTGTCGCGGGCTAATTGAACACCAGCGTGACAATGACCTGCCATCGCACGCGGTTCCAAATGTCTATCCCCTCTGCATGTACCTACAATTGATGCCTGTTTGAGCCCCTCCCGGTTGCCTTGTGAAGGGGGCGTAGAAGCTGTAACGAGTATTTCGCATAAGTTTCGTCAATTTGCAGCTAGCTAAAAAGGATTCGCAGGTGCTTATAAACAAGATTTGTTACCTTATTTGACTTCAGTCTCTTCTGCTTGACCTCAGTCTGTTCGTTACTATTGGTTGATAACCACGCGACGCGCTTATAACGTGGGAGCAACAGGCTGGGGAAACAACCTCGGGTGCAGCGTTCTCAAAGTTAGCGAACAACGGAATGATTGGAATAGAAACGAATGGGGTACAAATGAGCAACCCTAGAAGCTGTACCCCCTAGAGTGCAACTCACTATAGCCTATCATATCAATGTTCAACATTTGACACACCCCCATAGGCTAAGTGAGGGGCATCAAAGCAAGCAAGGTGAACAAACGGTCACAAGACCAGTCAAACCAAGAACCAAGGCAAGCTCAGGGTGGATCTCAAGGACACCACACAAATTCCGAGCGCAAGCAAGCGGCCACAAGGCCAGTTCAAGAGTTCACTAGGATATAAATACAAAGCACAACAAGCAGAGCAAGCAACAGGACTACACCAACCGAGGGCCTACCTCAACAAGCCCCAACTGCACACAGAACCTGTGGTGGTCACCAAGCGCCAAGGCCTTGGTGAAGACGTCTGCAGTGTTGGCCTCTGAGGCCACAAAGTCCAGGCGTGCCTGACCGCGTCGCTGCAGCTCTCGCAGGAGGAAGTACCTCACGTCAATATGCTTCACTCTGCTCTCCAGTCGAGGCTCTCGACACAGGAGGATCATGGCCTTGTTGTCAGCGTACAAGGTCGGTGCAGAGCGAGGCCGCTCACCAAGGTCAGCGAGCAAGAAGGTCAACCAGCGAAGCTCCTGTGCCGCCATGGCACCAGCGTAGATCTATGCCTCTGCACTGGAAGTAGCCACAGACGACGACCGTGTAGACCTCCACGACACAGCACCAGCTCCCAGACTGAAGCAGTAACCCTGAGTCGAACGCTGAGTCTCCACGTCGTCAGCGTAGGAAGAGTCGCAGTGACCAGTCAACGCCACTGGCTGAGTCCCTCCAAGCACAAGCCCCAAGCCTAATGTAGTCGCCAGGTACTTCGCCACCCTCACAGCAGCTGTCCAGTGGACAGGGCGGTGTCTCCCAGTCGCAACAAAGCGAGAAAGGATGCTGAGTGGAAAGGCGAGGTCCGGTCGAGTACAAGTCATCAGGTACATGAGGCAGCCCACCAGCTCTGCGTAGGGTCCACTGGACTCAAAGGGCTCGTCAGGAAAGGGGCCCGTGAGTCTGTGGTCAACAGCAAGAGGAGTGGGCTGTGTGGTGGAGAACTGGAAGTGGAACCGCCGAAGGACCTGCTGCACCATGTGTGACTGCGTCAGTGTGATGGTGCGAGCGGCTCTGTCCCGGGTGATCTGCAGGCCAAGGTAGCGCTGCAGCTCACCCAGGTCAGTGCACTTGTGTCTCTTCTGCAGTTCGGACTTCACCTGAGCCAGGGCTGCCCTGTCTGCTGTAGCAAACACCAAGTCGTCGACGTAGACAAGGATAAAGAAAGGAGTAGAACCCGCTCGAACAAACAGCGACGGGTCGGCGGAGGACGGGCTGAACCCAAGGTCACAAAGCGTGGAGCGAAGAGTGTCGTGCCACTCACGGGGCGACTGGCGGAGACCGTAGACTGGTCGCCTCAGGCTCCACTGGGTCTCAGGTGGGAAGGTGTCAGTGAAGCCAGGAGGACGGCGCAGCCAGATCTCCTCGTGCAGTCGGCCCTGGAGGAACGCAGTGGAGAAGTCGAGGGAGTGCAGCTCGTAGTCTCGCTGCGCTGCTATGTGGAGTAACACCCGAAGAGTAGTCATCTTCGGGGTCGGGGCGAAGGTCTGGAAGAAGTCAACTCCCTCACGCTGACTGAAACCCCTAGCCACGTAGCGCGCCTTGAACACCGGCGGTGCTCCAAACGGTCGCTTCACCTTGAAGAGCCACATGCCATCGACTACGTTCGCCCTGGGAGGGGGAACTGCGTCGACGTAGGTGCCTGTGGATCTCCAAGACGCCAACTCTGAGTCCATAGCCGCTTTCCACTGAGAGGCCCACGCCCCTGACACTGCCTCGTGGTAAGTGCGAGGAGTCGGTATGTCAAGGGCGTCGGGGTCTCCCTCAGGGGAGAGCAGCATGGCACACACAGAGGGAGAAGCGGCTGCCCAGTACTCCAGCTCAGACTCTCTGTCCTCTAGGACGTCACAGCCAAGGGCAAACCCACCCCCGACGGACAGAGGACGGTAGGGAGGAGCTGGCACCACACGGGTGGCGTAGTCAAGGCGGCTGGCGGCAGCAAACTCAGCGACAGCGGCAGTGAGAGCCGAGACAGACGACGGAGGGAAACGAGGGTCGGTGACAAGAGTGGTGAGGACACGTGCGGCAACAGGACGAACAGCGCGGTAGTAGTCAGAGATAGGAGTGGGGAGGGCAGGTAGAGAGGACGGAGGAGGAGACGGGAGAACGGACACAGGAGAAGGAGAACGACGACGAGACGAACAAAGGAGGGCAGTGTGGAGGTCAGTAACAGGGGACGAGTGACGAGCACGCGGAGGACAACGAGTGATCAAGTCGCGACGGACAGAGGGAGGAGGAGACTGAGGAGGAGGAGAAGACCAGACCGCCGGACGGTCGTCAGGAGGAGGCAACGGAGGAACAAACATAGGAGGAGACTGGGAGCGGACAGGAGGAGAGGAGGAAAGGCCAAGGGCCCGCAAGCCACTCACAGGTGGGAACAACCGCCGCTCTAGAGGAAGCTGCGGTGGCGGCTGCGGCCGCTGCGGCTGCGGCTGCGGCTGCTGCTGCTGCTGCGGTTGTGGCTGCGGCTGCGGCTGCGGCTGCTGCTGCTGCTGCTGCTGCTGCTGCTGCTGCTGCTGCTGCTGCTGCTGCCGCTGCTGCTCCAGAAGGTCCAGCACCCGCAGCTCCTGCCGCTCCCTCTCCAACCGCTCCTGCTCCTCACGCTCACGCCGACGGGCAGCCTGGAGACGCGTGTCGTGGCGGTGGGGGGGCGGGGTGGACTCCGCAGAACCAGGGTCTCCAGCGTCAGTCTCCTCAGACTCAGCACCCCCAGAACCAGTACCGCCAGTGCTAGGACCTCCAACTCTAGCACCCCCAGAACTAGCACCGCTAGTGCCAGCACCCCCAACTCCAGCACCCCCAGAACCAGCACCTCCAGTGCCGGCACCTCCAGCTCCAGCACCCCCAGAGCTAGCGCCACCTGCGCCAGCACCTCCAGCTCCAGCACCCCCAGAGCTAGCGTCACCTGCGCCAGCACCTCCAGCTCCAGTACCCCGCGACCGAGCACCCCCAGACCGAGCACCGCCAGCGGCTGCACCTCCAGCTCCAACACCAACCGAGTCCACAGTAACCTGTCGCGGAAGTGCCGAAGGCTGCTGAGGGGACTGTGAGGAGGACTGCGGGGAGGGAGACGCTACCTGACGCGCGACCGAGGGGAGAGGGGTAGCGTGGGACACACCAGACGGGGCAGGACCAGGGGGGGGCGGGGGTACCGGAGGAGCGGGAGCAGGAGGAGGAGAGGGTGCGAGGAAGAGAGGGGGAGGGGGTACCGGGAGATCTCGACAGGGGTACCGGGTGTAGTAGGACACGGACTCGTCAAACCGGACGTCACGGGAATCTAGGAACTGGTGGAGGGGAGGGTGGTAAAAGGACCAGTCAGCAGAGTCCACTGGGAAACCAAGGAAGACACAGGGGACGGCGCGTGCCGAGAGCTTGTCCGCGGAGGTGTCGCGAACAAGTGCAAGGCAGCCCCAGACTCGAAAGGCCGACCCAACACCAGG